TTTGTTGAGGGAATCAGCAGTGTATTTGAGAACTGCTTGACACATCTAATTTTCTATTTAAATATAAGTGCTGCTCCTTGAAGCCACAGTAGTGCATGTCCTATTTTCCTCCACCCAGTCTCTCCTTTGCTGCCTTGTTTGTGTTTTCTGTCCAACTTTCATCACTAGTGTGTATTTCAGTGGCTCTTACTGACTAGACTCATGCTGCACACTGACTTCAGGGCTCCAAGTATCCCCAGAGGCATCAGAAATGCTGTGCATTTTATCTCTCTCTTCTACACAAATGGGTATTCCCCACTCTCCTGCTCCCAGGCTTCGAGAGAATCATCTAAAATACCAGAGAGCACGAGTAAAAAAGTAAATGAGAGAAATGAGAAAAGGGAAATGTCTAGCTGTAACAGGCAAAAAAAACCACAAAAAGCAAAACCAGAACAAATAAACCAAAAAAAACCAACAACAACAAGAAAAAGGAAAATGGTACATCCACCACTTCATATTCCTCAGTGATGATGGAAACAGGAGTGTGTTCTCCAAAAGAGAAAACCTGGGGAGACGCTAAGAATGGCTGTCAGTGTCCAAAGGAATGTAGTGCTGTCCTCTGCCCAGGATGGTGATCCTCGTGTCCACTCAGCAAACAAAGGCAGGGACTCCAAGGATGGGGGGATATTCACAGTTATTTAGTTGATTGGACAGAAAGCACATGTCTCCTTGAGAAACTTTATTTTAAAGAATTAAGCCATAAGATGATAAAAGGACTTCATATGCCACTAAAGCATCTTTTCATTCTCTTGTACCATCTTGTGCTCTTAATCTACTGCTGCAGCACTTCATATTACTATATGTGAATACTTCATCCACTTTAGTCATCAAGGTGCTCTCCTATCCCAGTCTCACCCACAGGGTAACAAACAAGGTGGAGTCACCCAAGGTGACAGGAAAAGCTGGGGTCCATCAAAGTGCTTGGTGAATGCTCCAGAAACAAAACTGTCCTGCCCACCTGCTCAGTCTGCTGTGCTGCTGCAGGAAAAGACAGAGGTAGTAAAAAAAAAACTTAAGGACAATTCAAGTCCTACAAATTTTTATCAGAAGAGCAACAGTATTTAGTCAGCAGAACACACCATGTGTTTTACAGGGGAGGAAACTTCCCCAGCGTTTCTATGGTACAAAATACGGACTTAATTTTTTTATATCCTCCACATGGCAGCACAGGTGTCTAAGTTACAGTGATTCAAAATGAACAGGGCCCAGGGGGAGCTGCAGAAATGTGTTCTGAAAGAAAAGAACATTGAGTAGGTTTTTAACAAACTTTGCACCCATGCTGGTTCCAGTTATCTTGAGTGATCTCGGAATTTCTGTATCACATTAGCGTAACTCCCTATTTCCAGTCTTACAGGATCCTAAGTTATTAAAATCTGAGGCCAAGGCACGTGGGAGCCAAATCTGGATGCCTGTACACACATCAAGTAACACATTCTGTTCAAGCTCTGCCACTGCCATCAGTGGGTGTAGTTAACAAATGAATCACTACTACCAAAGTAGAGAACTCAAATCCCAGGGTTTTTTATAACTATGAGTGGCCCAGGGGTGAATCTCACTCATGCACAAACTTTGAGTGGGCTCAGGAACTGATGAGAGATGTCCCATGAACAGTTGGACATGTGACATCCATATGGAATGAGAACACAAAACTACAAACCAGTGAGTAGCACCAACATCTCTGACTAAGGAAAGCTGAAAGCAAGAGCCAGGATTGGAGCTTAGAGTTTTGTTTTTGACCAGAGGAGAGCCATCATGGATACTGCCTGCTAGAGCTACACCAATTCACATCCCAGTCTCACAAGCTCTGAAGCTTTCCTGATTCTCTCCTGGCCTTAAGGTCTCTATGCATGAAGTCTCTCAGGGAATTATAATTATTCAGAAATATCTCAGAGAGAAAAAGAAGACATCTCCTTGTCAGGTTGACTGATCACATGAACCGGGTGAAGTTTATAGTCCTCACAAGCCCATTCAAAGCAGCCTGAGAGATGAAAGTCACGTTTTGAAGGCAAATACATTCAGCAAAGCCTGCCCCAGATAAAGCCAGCTGCATTCCAATCAGATGGAGACCATCCCATTTCATGAAGGATGCTTACCTGAGCCTCTGCTAAAGGACAACGCAGAGCAGAACAAAAGAGCAGCTTACCTAATTTCGGCATCTCCCTTACCTAATTTTGGCATCTCCCTATCATTACTATTTCAACTTTGATGGAAGTTTTAATTCAGAGGTTCAGTAATGTAGTATTTGATAGACTGATGACATGGACAGTGACAGGCTGGTGATGTGGAAAGGCAAGCTTGCCACAGGCAAGCTGAGAGCTGCAGCTGACACCCCTGAAGGAAGGGATGCCATCCAGAGAGAGACTGAGACTTGAGAGCTGGGTCTGTGTGAACCTCGTGGCTCCAGGAGAACTTACAGCACCTTTCAGTAGCTAAAGAGAGGGAGTTTTTAGAAGAACATGTAGTGATAGGGCAAGAGTAGTAGCTTTCAATTTAAAGATGGTAGGTTTAGAATAGATAATGGGAAGAAGTTCTTTATTGGGAGGTTGATGAGACAATTGAACAGGCTGCCCAGAGAAGCTGAGATATTCCATTCCTGGAAGTGCTCAAGGCCAGGCTGGATGGAGCTTTTAGCAGTCTGGTCTAGTGGAAGCTGCCCTTGGCCTGGCAGGGAAGCTGGAATTAGATAATCTTTAGGGTCCTTTCCAACCTATACTATTCTATGATTCTATGAGCTTCACAGAGTAGTGGCTTGCATCCCTCTGAAACTTACAGCTATACACACTTTTTCTTTCATAGTACAATAAAAAGAAATCAACACATTTCTGAGGCTAAAATGTTCTTTTTTACATTCTTTTCTGTATAGATCTTACAAGCCAGAGCTTGCAAGTCATCGCAGTTTGCAACTTTAAAAGGAAGTAAGGGAAAAAAGGGAAATAAATCAGCTAAGGAGAGTTATTATGTTCCATAATTTCAATACCTCTGGTCCCTGCACTATGGATTGTTTCAAATCCCTCCCAATCTGGGAAAAACCTAATTCACTCTCTAGGGAAGCTTATTCTCTATGGGACTCTGCTGTTTCCAAGTGAGATAAAGATTTCTAAGTCTTTGTCTTACAAGTTTAACTACAGGAGACTTGTACATTTTCTAAGAGAAAAAGGCACCTGAAACAGAGATGTTACATAATGCAATGCTAAAAAACAGTGTTCAAACCTTGCAGCCAAAAGACAATGAAAAAGGAGGCAGACTGAGGAAAACAATACACATTAAGGTGTCAAATGGATAAACGGCAATTTCCATTAACCATTATTATATGAAGTAGAAAATAAGGCACAACATCACAACCTGTCCTTTAAAAAGAGGTTCTGCTTTGTCCCCAAGTCAGCTTAGCCCTTGCATTTTATCCTCCAAGAAAGCCTCTCCCCTAAGCTCATTTGTGTTATTTGAAAGATAGGGTAAATTATTCCAAAGACCAGATATTCTGCTCTACAGAGGGAGAGGATCTACACTCATCTTTGCCATGGGCACCCAGCATGAATAGTGAGATGAAAGGATTTTTGATAGTTAGGGCAATCATCCATCTACCACCAGAACCAGGAAAAAAACCCACTTATTTTCCTACGTTATGGAACTGTAGAATAGACAAGGTTCTAGACTTTTGATACATATTGCAGGTCTGTGTGACTTAGGAGCCTTAAAACTTCCTTTCTTTGGTGTTCAAAACCTTCTCACACTGTCCAAATTCCTCAGGCACACTAAGGGAAATCTCTAGATCTGGTGTCAAAAAGCAATGTTTTAAATATTGGAGTCTAAAGATGTTTAGAGAGATTTGTAGAAGGATGTAGATAATTTAAAATGAGGAGTCTACCTCTGCTGCAAGGTGTGGAAATACTGCAAATACAATCTATAGATATTTAGTGACTGGATTCCAAGGGCTTTCAATGAGGTGAAAAAAATTCTAGGAGAATTTGACTCTAAGATATAAAGATATAGATATATATCATGCTTTGTAATTGGGAGTCAATTTTTAAGTTTTCCAGTCCTCTTTATTTTTAACCATCCAAAATGTGACCCTCCAGTACTTTAATATTACAATCTTTTTTGGTCTTAAGGACCAGACACTTCTTTTAACTACGCACAGGTTCTGTAAATCAGCACTTCTGCACATTCACACACACCCCATCATCTGCAAGACAGTAAGTACAGCATTAAGAATCTGATTCAAGCCCCAAATCCTAAATTCAACTACAGAAGAACTACACTTTTCTTTTTCTCTCTAAAAGTCAATTCTCGATCCTTCTCATGGTGCAGAGAAGTTTGGGAAAGAGGTATCTGAGATGGCTGAGCCTGGAGATAGGAACTAAATTTGTTTCATCATCTGATTTTAAGACATTCTTCCAATTTGAGAGGCTGACACTTGGGAAATGAGAAGGAACTGAGTCACAAAGCAGATTTTTAGCAAACTGCAGATCTTGGGCTTTCACTAGTCACTATAATGAAACTGGCTCCTCAGAGAGTGATTTAAAGCAGAGTGAATCATCCCTTCTCACCAAGATTGCACAAGGAGACAGAGTGGCTGGCTCTGCACAAAGACTGTGTTCTAGGCTAAAGTAACTCTCTGAAGGGCTGAGAAATAGGAAGTCTAATGGTCACAGGTTTGTTACTGAAGCTCTGGGCAGCTCTTCTGTGTTACTCTAAGCAGGTGTATTATAAAGAAGCAGGAGTTTTGCAATTATCAAAAGACTTGTACTTCTCTGTAAAAGACACCACGTTTTATCAGACAAGAGGTACAAACACAGAGACTATTGCACTGTAAGATATGTGCCATGGACTGATTATATAGCACTGATGATGAATAAAACCAAGGGTATACTTCAGGTGAAGGAAACAATCCCTTCGAGTCAGATGCCCTTCTCCCCTCCATGACCCACCCAAAGCAAGCCAAGCCAGTGGCCCTAACTCACCAGTAAAACCTATTTGGAGTGACCCGCTCGTGCATGAGCTGCCATTTTCTTCCAAAGTCCATCGAGCTGTACAGCTGGAAGGCAGAGAGAGAAAGAAAGTATAAACTTTGAGGAAAAAGAAGAAAGCCTGTTGCTAGATAAAGCATTAAAATCATTTCAGATTAAAGAACAGGAATGGATCATTCACAGTAATTATATACAATTATCAATCACCCTCACTGCCAGGAGAGGCAATGTCTTCCCTTTACTATTAAACGAGACTGGGCTCCTGAGAATCAAAAGCAGGTTGCCTCTTCTCAGACCTTGTCAAACAACTTTGTGTTTCTGAATTTCAGCTGTCAACACATTCACTTTGACTGCCATATAACAAAGCTGGCCATTCCCCTGGCTTTTTTTGCTTAATCAGAAGCAGGTGACATGTGAGTTCCTAGTATCAAATAGAATGAGACACAAATCAGATTAGTCAACATGACTCTGGTACAGTAGTGACTCTATACTCAAGGTCATGCCATGATTTGTTTTTATGGAGTGAATCAGATCTCTTCTGTATTGAAAAGTAAATTGTTCCTAATCTATATTTTCTAATATTCAGAATGAGGTCTAAATTTTTAGATAAGTTAGGAATCAACCTGCTCATTAGTTAAATCCCAAAGATAGTGATGTGACTCCTCTTGGAAGCCAAATTTTCAATATAATGATTTTTTGAGTCTTTCTGGTTAAGAAATGCCACAGCTGTAATGCAACCAAATTTCTACGCAATACCACTCTGAATTTCAGACATATGTTTGCTTCATATATACTCTGCTTAATACCACAAACACCATTCTCCATGTAATTATTTTCTTACCCACAATGCATCCTCTCACAATCAAAACATATGCAAGCTCCTGTTCTCCAACTGTGAGCAAATTTGGTCCTTCAGAGAGAAAAATATGCTTTGAGAAGTAACTACTATGCTTTACCAGTAGATCACAGAACTAAATATCAGGCAGCATTTTGATCAGGATTTCAAATAAATTTCATCTGATATAAATTCTGGCTTAACAAAACAAGGTTTGCCAGCTAAGGAGGTAGATAACAGAACTGAAAAACTTGAATGTTTGTAATAGCCAAATTTAAGTCCTTCATGGGAAAAGCATATCATTTGAACACACGAGATTCTGCATTGCATTTGATCTGAGTAACTGGATTTGCCAGTTAGAGGCAGGAAGGGTTCACAACCTAGTGCTGTGTCCTGTGGCACTGCTGTGACGGATGGCTAAGTGTGACTGGGAAGATAAACCACACGTGCTCACACTGAATATTAACATTTCTTGAATGGGCAGTATCTTCGACCACAGAGATGCAGAGCTGGACCATAGATGAATTTAGAAAGATGACTGGAAAGGATTGTTTGAGCAGTATCCAAAGCCTGAGGCAGTTAATTAATTCTTGCCATGTTTGTACTCAACTACACAACTAAATCACTGTATAGCCAGCAAAAGAAAGACAGAAACTGAAATTCAGACTCCATCAAGTATCTAATGCAACTGATATATGTAAAGACAAAAGAATCAAGTCTTTGCATTTATGCCAACAGGAATGCCAGTTTGGCCAGTAATAGTTCCAGTTTGTGTGCCAGTAAAACACAGACAGAGGAAAGATATGGAAGCAGGCGTGCTTCAGTCTTCATGACAAAAAGGGCTCCAATTATGTAAACTTCAGCCAATATCACTGAGCTTGTTGTAAGAAATATTAGGAAAGATCTTCTGCCCCAGGTTCTTCAGGAGATCAGATATTATCTGAATATTCTAATTTGGCCATATTTCTTTAGCACTGTCTCTAGATAGGGTAACATACTGCACTAAAAGTCCACAATAGCCAGACTTCCTCTGTTTTTCAGGTGATTGTCTAAAAAAATATGACAGAGTCCTCTGCCCCAAAATGAACTCTGTATTGATACAAAATAAAGCAACAAAGCATCACTTGTCTTTTTTAATTAAAGGATCCGGGAAAAGAAAATTCCTTGAAGTCAGCATCAATATTAAGATAACTAATTCTCAGAACACACAGGTTTTTAGAAACAATAACTGAGAATCTACACTCCAAAGTCAAAATTCTACAGTGCTACAACTCTGCCCTGACTTTAGCAAGGTTCCTGCCAGAAATATTCCTTGAGTCACTGGCTTTGGTTTACACCTTCAAGCACCTCAGCACGGACCAAGTTGCATCGGTTGCATCAAAAACTTGATTATCCTTTGTATGCCCTGACTACAGGTACAAGTCAGCCAGGCTTCAGGCAACTTAGTCCCAGTTAAGTCATGCTCACAAAGCGAGTCCAAGTGGGTCTAGCATCCTGACTGTATTCTGCAATGGATTAATCATTCTCACCATGAGAGGAAGGGATTAGCAACATACAGCCACTTCTTTCGAGTCTCTTTTATCGTTTGCCCCTGGCATTTCCTTTTCTTCTGCAGCAGCAAAACATCAGTAACTACAGAAAGCTCAGTGACATGAGGCACAATCTCCTTCAGCCACTCAAGTCTCCCAGTGTCTCTTTCAGGGGGCATCCCACTCTGTATCAAGTTAAAAACCAGAGACCAGCTATTGGTCTGAGTTTTTCTCCTTTCTTTTCTCTATTAAAGCCCCAACTGACTGATGTCAGAAGGATTAAACTGAGCTTGCACCCTTTATGTGATTTCAGATAAAGCGATAAAGAGGATCTTATTCATTTCAATAATTTTTATTTATTATTCACCTACTTATTCTGGGCATCCACCTCAAATTTTAACCAGATGACTGAGTCTTAAAGCTGTATGACAGAACAAATCCCTAAAAGGCCTCTCTGGCCCAGTTCAGCTTTATAGTATTATTTACAGATGCAAATGCAAAGGTTAGTGTTGAATAAATAAATAAAACACACAATAAAGTGATTTCTAGTATGCATTAAAATTGAATATATACATATACTTTTTGTTTATCTCCCTTCACAGAAGAAGACAATTTTTAGAAAAGACAACAAATTTAGTGGCAAGTACTGCAGATTTCAATAGAAATTAATTTGTCCTTAGGCTGAATACTAAGCAAAGGAAAAAAATGATGTAGGTATGGTGCCAAGATTTTCCCATTTTAAAGCTCTGCTCTAGCTCTTTAGTGACAAGTAATCTCTGGCATTTCCACCTCCTGGAGCACTCCAACACATTGATGAAGAGGGATGGGCTCCAGCACACCGTGGGGGTGGCACTGTGAGGGTATGGCCCTTCTGCAACCTCCTGCTGTTATTTGACTTATTCTGATGACTGAAAAATCAAAACCTTTATGGGTCTTTATGTTTGTTTGGGCTGGTCTTGTCTCTTGATGCAGCAGATCTGACTCTGCCTCTCCTCAGGAGCCTAGTCAGACCTATCACTTAAAACAGGAAAGGCTGTACCATCAAAAAGGTAAATGGCAAATATTTATCCAAACAGCATCATGATACTCCCCACTCAAGGACTGTAGCACCAAACAGATCACACCAACACAGCCCTGCAGTTCACCAAGAACACAATCTGTGCCAGGAAAGACCTTGGCAGCCCCAGTGATGCACAACTTTGTTTCACTACAGGCCAGACCTGAAATCCTGCTTGTTTTGCTCAGCACAAATGTGAATCATAAGGATTTTACATACCACAGGCAGAACGCTTTATCTTCAAACTCTAAGAACAGTGGCAACATTTTATTTCACACCAGCATTGTTTCCAAGTAAATTGGCAAGCCTCTTAAAGAAGGAGCTTTATCCCTGGTATCAGATTCTGTGCCTCAAACACAAGCAGTGTGCCAGAAACACATTCAGATCTACAGAACTGTGAAGAAAGGAGCTATACATACATGCATGCACAGTGCTGCATATGAAAAATGTTGCTTCAACTCTCCAGTACAAACTCTCAGGGTGACACATCATGTTGGCTGGCTTGGAAGATCTTGTTCAGGGTTGTGGGTAATTTGGTTTGGGTGTTTTGTTTATTTTACCAATGAGAGCTAACAAAAATAGATAAATAAATAAATAAATAAATAAATAAATAAAATTTTTCTGGAGAAGTAAAGCTTCTGAGAACTGGAATAGCAAGAGCAACTGGTCTGCTTCAAATCTACTTCCAGAGAGAAGGGAGAAGAATGAGCAATGAAGGAAACACAGGAAGATAATCCCCTGATGTTAGTTATCCATGTCCAAGCTAGTCACCAAGGCTCATTTTTAGACAGGCAAGACATTTCTAAAACTGTTCATTTTCCAAGCCTTAGAATCTTCCACCTCTCCTAACAGACACTAAGAAAGCTCACAGTGACTAGTGCAGAAGAAGCCCCCACCAGAGAACCATGATGTGGTTGAGATGGATTTCATCATCTGTTCCCAGGCTGACCTGCTTGTGCTTCATGGGTGAAACACACATTAGAATAAAGACTGAAGGCAAGCCCAAGAAAGACCAAGCACACAATAGCGTAGGTATACTCCATCACTGCACGAAGTGTGTATAAATGTCACTTACAGACTGAAAAGCAACAGAAAACAGACAAAAGAAATTCACAGAGCTTTGATATTTATAGACTTTCATGTGTACACACATAAGAAGAAGGGCACCAGGAACATATATAAAAGCCTATAAGCAAATAAATATTATTTGTTGCTATGAAATCACATCTATTGGCCTGAGAAAACATGTGGTGAGACTCTCCATAGTTTCCTGCCAGCCATCCAAGATATAGTGAGGAAGATCAGCTGAACTACATGCATTTAGAGGAACAATTCATTTATTACACAAAAAATTACACCTCCTCCAGACAATACATACAGCTGATGATGGAAAGATGTATTCAAAATAAATGCATCAGGGAGAGAGCTGATCTAGTGGTAACAGCTTGGCAGCAGCTGATACATTAAGAGGAGGGTCAGATTAGCCTGGCCTGCTTGGCCTCAGAGGAGCACAATCCCAAGCAGTAGCTCAGACACCTTACATGAAAAGATGGCTCTGATCCCAGAAAAGCACAAAGCAAACTAACACCTTCTCAGGCAGAACCAGTAGGAAAAATCTACAAGATGTGTGGATGGTTCCTGCCAAAA